TGAACCCGGGCCGCACGCATGCCAGGCGAGCGCGCTACCGCTTGAGCCACATCCCCAGCCCGAGGCTGGTTTTGAATTTGCATTTCTCCTGTTTCAGCCTCCCTAGCCTATTGGATTACAGGTGTGCATCATCGTGCCTAACCTTGCAACATTTTTTTTTTAATATTCTTTTTTAGTTGTAGATGGACACAATACCTTTATTTTATTTATTTATTTTTATGTGGTGCTGAGGATTGAACCCACTGCCTCACATGTGCGAGGCAAGCGCTCTGCCACTGAGCCACAACCCCGGCCCTGCCCTGCAACATTTTTAATAGGATGTCCGGTGAAAAATAATCATCTCATTCCAGATTCCCACAAGACAACCATGACTACCAGATTCTTTTTTATACATCTAGAGCTAGTTATTCTATGCATAGTCAAATCTTCTCTTTTTATTTCTACCTTACATTGTTCCTATCATTCTTCTCCTGTTTTATATCAAATGAGAGCATATTATTGGTTCTCATTTGTACCTAACATTTTTTCATTTAACCACCAAATCTGAGTTGGTTTGTCTGTTTATGTGTGTGTATTATATATGTGTGTGTATATATTCATATGATTATAGGTGCACATTACTATGCCTGGCCATTTTGTCTTAAATACACTTAACTGCTATAGTGAATAGAGCTTTAAAAATTGCACTGGGCCGGGCATGGTGGCTCACACTGTAATCCCAGTGGCTCAGGAGGCCGAGGCAGGAGGATCACGAGTTCAAAGCCAGCCTCAGCAATTGTGAGGCTCTAAGCAACTCGGTGAGACCCTGTCTCTAAATAAAATACAAAATAGGGTTGGGGATGTGGCTCAGTGGCTGAGTGTCTCTGAGTTCAATCCCCAGTACCAAATAAATAAATAAATAAATAAAATTGCTCTGGGCACAGTGGTGCACACCTGTAATCTCAGTGACGTGGAAGGCTGAGGCAGGATGATCTTAAGTTCAAAGCCAGCCTCAGCAACATAATGAGACCCTGTCTCAAAATTAAAGGAAAAAAAAAAAAAGAGATGGGGATGGTGCTTAAGTGCCACTGGGTTCAATCCTAGGTACCAAAAAACTGGAAAACCATGTTCTATCTGATTTTGAGAGCAATATCTGATTCTGGAGGGACTACTCTGTTAAATATTAGGCATTTAATAAAGATTCAGATTTCAAACTGAAACTCTGGCAAGAGTGGGCCTGTATTTCTTAAGGCAGGAATTCTGTCCCTGAGTATTGGTTATTTTCTGTAGAACCTGTCCTGACTCTAGTCTTCCTGTAGTCCTTCCCATGCCCTAGTGAGTTCTTTCTCCCAATTAGTTGCTTGCTGGTCTCCTGAGAACATTAGTTTTGCATCCTCTGCTTTGTTGGTCAGTACAAGTCTCCAAAGATGGTGGTTCTCAAATGTTTTTATTTTATTTTTGGGGACTGGGGTTGAACTCAGGGACACTCGACCACTGAGCCACATCCCAGTCCTTTTTTGTATTTTATTTAAAAACAGGGTTTCATTTAATTGCTTAGTGCCTCGAGGTTGCTGAGGCTGACTTTGAACTTGTGATCCTCCTGCCTCAGCCTCCCCAGCTGCTGGGATTACAGGTGTGTGCCACTGCACCTGGCTCAAATGTTTTTATTTCATGCCATTACCACCTTGAACTCCTAAGAGAATCTAGACTCTGTTATTCTTTTCTTACTTAAAAGGATGGCATGATTTCCACTCAAATGAGAATAGGAAATCCATGATATCTAAAACTGCAAGTTGAAACTTTGGGGACTTTGAGTAATGGAACGAATCTTTAGTTATCTGTATTTTTGAAATCTTCTCCCTATATCAGGTTGTGTTATAGCCCTGGCATTCTCTTGCCTAGCTTGTTTCTCCTTGTAAGAATTTATTGATTCATTCAGGTGTTGCTATTAGATTCATCCTTTCTTTTTTTGGTGCTGGAGATTGAACCAGCCTTGTGCATGCTAAACACATGATTACTTACCATAGAGCTACACCCTCATCCTCCCATCTCTCTCTTTCAAAGATGGCTGCAACTCTTGGCCAGCTCAATATAGCATTTGATCTTTGTTTTATGCCATCCCAGCCATATTATAGATGATTCTATAATAATGTTTTAATAATGATTCTATAATAATCACTTTCACCACTTGTCTCAGAGCCCCAGGAGTATATATGATTCAATTGCAAAATCTTGAGATTGTTCTGACTTTCAACTCAGTTCACACAGTAAATCTGCTCTTTGGTTTGCTTTTTTTCCTGAGTGTCCTGACATTTTCCTACTTCTTTCCTTTCAGTACTTGGTCTGTCTTTCATCTTTGCCAAATGATAAACTTATTTTTCTGTTTTACATTGTTCTTAATATCCAGCACCTCCTTTGGGGGTTGGGAAGAAAGACATTTTAGTCCTCAAGAATTATTTTCCACTTTAGGAAGTGATCTCTTTTCAGAAGACTCCACTAATTTGGGGCTACCCAATAAAACTTGGCTGATATTGAAACCAGAACCGATGCTCAAATTACTTGAACAAGGTTCAATAGTAGCCCAGTATTTGCTGTCTCAATTTCTTTATTTTGTTTTAGTCTGTGCCAGAGTTCCTGTTTTCTTTTTTTTTGTTGTTGTTGTTTTGGTACTGGGGAGTAAAGTAAAGTACCAGGGGTACTTTATCACTGAGACACATCCCTCTAGTCATTTTAATTTTTTATTTTGAGACAAGGTCTCACTAAGTTGCTTAGGGTCATGCTAAGTTGCTGAGGCTGGACTCAAATTTGTGATATTTCTGCTTCAGTCTCCTGAGTCAAGGGGATTTACAGGCATGATTCGCTGTGCCTGGCTGTTTTTTTTTTTTTTTTTTTTTTCACTTTTTAATGTGGAAATTTATAGATAGAAAGATAGAGAAAATATTTTAATAAACTCCTACATTCCCTAGGTAAATACTAGTTAAGTAATTATCAATATTTTGCCAATCTTGTTCTATTTCACATAACTTTTTTCCAGGTTTTATTATAAAACAAGAAAGACTTTATCATCTATAGGGGGGGCATGGTGGAGCTTGTCTATAATCCCACTTACTTGGGAGGCTGAGGCAGGAGGATCACAAGCTGAGGCCAGCCTGGGCAATTGGGTGAGATCCTGTGTCAAAAATAAAAAATAAAATAAAAAAACCCTAGCCAGGATGTAGCTCAGTAGAAAGTGCTCTTGGGTTCAGTTCCCAGTACGGGGTAGGGGGATCACCCATAAAATACTACTTTCACTCACATGTTGTTAATGTTTTGTCATATGCCTATGTGAACCATTTTAACATCTGTTTCATATTTCATGACCCTTACCCTTAAATATTTCATTGTGCATTTCCTAAAAAGGATTTTCCTTTGTAACCACAGTTATATTATCACAAAATATTAACAATATTTCCTAATTTTATCTATCTTTGAATTTTCCTACTTGTCCCCAAAATGTCTTATATAGTTCCCTCCATCTCCAAACCAGGATCCAAGGAAGATCCATCCACACATTACATTTGGTTATTAGTGCCTTTAAATTTTTCTTCCTGTGTCTTCATCATTTTTTTTTTTTTTTTTTTTTTTAACATTTGTCATTTTGTAATGATCTGGCCACTTGACCTGTGAAATATCTCATATTCTGGGGTTACAAATATCTTATTTTATAATATTGGGGTTTAATTTGTTCCTTATCCCCTGTAAATTTCCTATAAACTGCAAATTAGGTATAATGGCTTGATAAGATTAATACTAAACACTTTTGACAGGAATACTTAATAGATGATGTTGTGTACTTATTGCATCTCATTGAGGACCACACAACATCAAAGTTGACCTATTACTAGTGATGTAAAGTGTGATCATTTACTTGAGTAAGGTTTGACTGCCAGATCTTTACATTGAAGTTACTTTTCGTTCTGTGCAATTTGCAAATAATCTGTGTGGTGACATTTGACATGTTCTTTAACGACGTTTCTCTTAAAAGTTTGACAGGATCATTCTGGGTTGCAGAATAGTGATTTCCTAACTCTTCCATTTCTTCTACATTTATTGGATGGGATTCTTTATAAAATCGGGCTTTCCTATATAAATTACTGATGAAAACGGACGGTAAATGCTTCTTTTAGTTAACAATTTCAGAATAAGGAGTTGGTGTAATAATCGCTTTCAGTGTGGCGAATTACGTTTTTTACTTTTATTTTTTTTAGTATCAGTATAGACTACTGGGTTTTCCTTGTCTCTTTCTCATATTCTCTCCACCTATTCTTTCATCCACTCCACTTCTTGATCCATGGCGATTGCTACCTTTTTCGGCACTACGCCTGAACTTTCCAGTTAGTCCTCTAGGTGTCACTGGTTTCCCTTGCGTCCCTACACTGCCGCTCTATCGCACATCTCCCTTTTCGCAACTGACCATCTCGCTGGTACTGACTCGATTCAAGGAGACGCTCTAGGCTCTCGGGAGGCCGTTAGCATTGTGTGGGGAAAGTCTGGACTACGCGTCGCCTCGCCGGCCCCGGGGCGGTTAGCGCTTCCGGGGTCGAAGGGTGCGCGGGGTTGAAAGCGGGCCGCTCCGCCCCGTCCCCCTCCCAGACCAGCAGAGGCAGCAGCCGGAGCAGCCGCAGCCTGCGCCCTCTCCCGCCCGCCCGCCCTCCGCCCGCCCGCCCGCCCTCCGCCGCCCTCCACCCGCCCCGGGGTCTCTTTCCCCCTTCCTCCTCCTCCTCCTCCACCCCCCCTTCCTCCTCCGCCCGCCCGCGGGGCCCCCCTTGCCTTCCCGCCCGCCCCTATTGTTCCGCCCCCGGCCTCCCGCCCTTCCCCTTCCCGCCCGCTCCCCTTTTCCCCTCAGTCGTCTCGCGCCTGCAGGTAAGCTTAAAAATTTCCCCTCCTCCCCCGACAGAAGCTTCTGTTTCCACTCATGCCATCTTTCTTAGAGGTCTCCGGTCCTAGTCACGAACCCCGGTCTCTCGTAGGCCCGCTTGAGCGCCTACCACCTCAGTCTCTCCGGCCGGCCACTCACGCGAGGACCTGGTTCTGGCGCGGCCTAGTAGGCCTCGCGCAAGGCCTACCCCCTCCCCCCCGCCTTTTCCCGGTGGCGGCTGCGCAGGAGTCAAGGAGGGCGCGCGCGCGGTAGGGGGGGCGGCGGTGGATTTGTTGGTTGAGGGGGGTGGGGGAGGCGATGGCCGGCTTGCTGGCCGTGCGGGTGAGCGCGGCTCCCCGCGGGGGTCAGGCGCTGGCGCAGCCACACGAGGAGGCGCTACTAGTCCGGCCCCTCCCCCTGGATCGCAGCGCCCCCCCCCGACCGAACCGTTTATTTTTCCTCTCTTTTCTAATTGAGGGAAGGGGGGGCTAAGTGGAAAAATGCTTGGATGACCGAGGGGAGGGGGGCTGCGGAATTAAAGAAAGGGTAGGCGGGCTCCCAGTTACCGAGTTATTCAGGACGTTCTCTCAGGGTAACAAATTTTGAAATTACAAAATGCCTGCCGATATAAACCCAGACCGAGCTATTTATAGAGGGGTAATTGACTGCATGATTAACAGCTGGATTCCTGGGATATGGGGTACACTTATACTGACATGAGAGAAGTATGACAGATTTCTTGGATTGCTTTAATGGTTTGGAGTTCAAAAATGCATATTTGTGCCTCACCTGAAGAAATAACTTCAAATGTTTCATTTTGTGCCCTTGTGATTATTGTGGTATTTGTAAAGTACTTCCTATTACATCTTAGCTAGGAAATTAAGATTTTTACCATAATTAATTTAAAAAAGGAAATCATTCTGATAGACTCAACTATTTTTACCAAGCCTTTTTCCCCCATGAGTGAAAATTGTTGACTTGTGGGATTTGGGCAGCAATTGGCTATATTCTGAAAATAGGAAAATAATGTGCATTGGGGATGCACTTATATAATGCACTTACATTCTGAAGTAGACAGACAAATTTACCATGTACAGAATGGTGTGGCAATCACTAAAACGCTTCTGAAAGTATTTAGGGTCCGACCTTTGTTAACAACAAAATTAAAAGGGTGTCTGGTTTAGTGAAGGGAGAAAACTAGCTATAGGAGGAGTTTTGAAGGGATGGATACTGAATTATGTCATTAAAGAAATTTAACAGAACTTGTGAGAAGCACTTTTAAAATTGGTCCTAAGGAAGTATTGAAGGCAAACACATATATCCACAACCAATTTTTTTTCTGCATATCACTAAGCACATTGTTTGAGGGGATGAGTGAAGAAAGGGACGTCTTGAAAACAATTACAGAGTAAGTTTTTAGATGTATTAGTTTTATATTGTCTTTTTTGGGAAGAAATCTAAGATTTAATAGATGTGAATAAAAACTGAGTGGCAATAAAAGTTTTGTACAAACAAAACAGGTTAGGGGAAAGAGAAAAGGACTTGATTGGACTAAACGTATGGAGTCATTCCAAAGGGGAATGTGGAATTCCTGTCTGCATGGCTGCATCTGGGATAGATGCCTCTTTCAGTTAGGTTGTTGACATAATTTAAAAATCATTTGATGTCATCCATCAACATTTGAAATTTTTAATGTGGGATACATCTCAATTTCTTTATCTAGAAATTGCTACTATGAAGATTACTTGTGTTCTCTAGCTTGTAGTTCCAATTGTTACTCCACAGGGAATCAAAAGGTCATTTGCCCTTAATGTAAGTTGGTTAGTATGGGGTTTGCTCAGGTGTTTGAATCTTTTTGAAGCTTACTTTGTTGAAGGACAATTTGGTGCAAGTTCAGCAATTCCCATAGAACCACTGCCAGTAGAAGGAATCTTCCTCATCCTGAGAGTCAGCGGAAAACCTATCATTTATGAGAGCAAATTGGAAAGTTGCCTTCTATACTGTGTAACAACCAGAGTTTTAAATGTTAAGCAGTTGTGCTGGGTGTATGTACAAATTGGATAGGAAAAGAATCATTTAGAAAACATTGATAATGGCAGAAATAACTTTGGGAAATATTCTCCTGTTGTTTTCTTCCTCTGATTTTGGTCATGTTTGCATTTCAGTTTTTGGCTTTCACCCCCACCAGTGACCAAAGACTTGACCACTCAAAGTCCAGCTCCCCATAACACTGCTCGACATGGACACCGGTGTGATTGAAGGTGGATTAAATGTCACTCTCACCATTCGGCTACTTATGCATGGAAAGGTATGCACCAGCTTGGGAAATTGGGTCATAGTAACTGCTAGGGGAGGGGCCAGGAAGAGCAGACATGCATCTTGGAGCTCATCAGATTAACACTGTGGGGCGTCTGGCTTTAGTACTCTTCTCTAATGGAATAGATGTGAATATAGTGGGAAAGTGGACAGATTTGACTAGGAAGCTCCACTGAGCAGGAAATGCTTAACTAGAGGTTAGAGCCAAAGACTGTCTCATACCTGGATAGTAAGATTTTTTTAATATGTTGCTATAGGTTGTAATAGGTAGATTTCACAAATAATTTTAGGGAAATTTAAGGGGGTGGTAAACATTTAGTTTTATAAAAGATAATTTATATTAAACACAAATTATAGTATTTAGCCACCACTATGTGGTTATTCATTTGAAATTCATTGATAGCTTTACTCTTAAATTCTGATTAAAGAATAAACCTTTATCTCCCCAACCCTCAGTAAATCTTAAAATCTCTCCTTTTTTACTGGGGGTTGGGGTTATTGAATCCAGGGGAACTTTGCCACTCAGCTATATTCCCAGCCCTTTTTTCTAGTTTTAGTTATAGTTGGACACAGTACCTTTATTTTATTTACTTTTATGTGGTGCTGAGGATCAAACCCAGGGCCTTGCACATGCTAGGTGAGCACTCCAACGTTGAGCCACAACCTGAGCACCCCCCAAGCCCTTTTTTTTTTTTTTTAATTTTTTTTAGTTATACATGGACACAATATCTTTTGTTTATTTTTTATGTGGTGCTGAGGATCAAAACCAGGGTATCACACGTGCAAGGCGTGCACTCTACTGCTGAGCCACAAACCACGCCCCACCCCCTAGCCCTTTTTATTTTTGACAAGTTCTCCATAAGTTGCTGAGGCTGGCTTCAAACTTATGATCCTCCTGTCTCAGCCCCCTGAGTAGATAATATTATATGCATGTACCATCATACCCAGCTCTCCATTTCTTTGGAGTAGTACTTATCATAATAGCAGTTGGACAGCTGGATAGTTAGAATTTATTTTTCATAATGATGAACACTTCTGAATTTCCTCTTAGTTACACTAGTTTTTTCCATTGCAGGAAGTTGGCAGTATCATCGGAAAGGTAAGTAAGATAATTTCACTTCAACACTAATTACTATTTAGTCAGTCTGAGTTGAAAAAGCAGGTGGAGCTCATCATTGACTTTTCCTCTTACAGAAAGGAGAATCGGTTAAGAAGATGCGCGAGGAGGTAAGTTAGGGGCTTTTGAGTTTTGTTAGCTTTGGAAAGTGAAAATCTTTTAAAACATCTGAAAGTTCTGTTTGAGAGATTAGATGGGGAGAGCTCTATAGGGAAAGTCTATTTTTTTTAGCTTGATTATTTTATTGGTGTTGAGAATTGAACTTGGGGCCTCACCATTCTTAAGACAAGTTCTGTATCACTAAGCTTCATCCCCAGTTCTGTTTCAGTTATTTGTAATGACAAATATATGCAGGAGTGTATACTTTTCAGAGAGATCTTGGAGTTTATTCAGGACAGCTGGTATAGGCTTTGTTTGAGGACAAACATGGGACAGTGTTTGATTTCTCCCCCACCCCCCAGTGTAGGTAGGTAGCTTCTTGCCTATGTTAAAGAGAGGCTATACACATCCTACATATGTTCTGATCTTTTTTGTCTCTTAACTACTTTTGTTTCTCCTCCTTTTTCAGAGTGGTGCACGTATCAATATCTCAGAAGGGAATTGTCCTGAGAGAATTATCACTTTGGCTGGACCCACTAATGCCATCTTCAAAGCCTTTGCTATGATCATTGACAAACTGGAAGAGGTTCGTTGTTTTTTCTCCCCCACCTCCTGGTTTTTTTTTTTTTTTGTTTGAGACAGGATCTTGCTATGTTGCCCAGGCTGCTTTTGAAATCCTGGGTTGAAGCTGTCTACCTGTCAGATTCTCCAGTAGATGGGACTACATGGTTGTACCACTATACCCAGCAAAAAAAAAAAAAAAAAAAAGTGTTGGGGCTCAAACCCAGAGCCTCAAGTATGCTAATTAAGTACTGTACCACTGAACTATATCCCCAGCTCTTTTTTACATTTATTGCTAAGCCTTCAGAGTATATTGTTGCCCTCTTCCAGTTGATTGGACTAAATTAATGTACTTTTTGTTAGGAGCTCTGTTGAAACTAATATATTTCATTCATTGCAGATATTTTCCAGTCTGCGTGTTGTTATATTAAAAAAGTATACAGATACTGGTAAAAAATGTTAAGTTGTACTTGGAGGGCGAGCCCTAGGTAATCAGAAGCAAAATAATCATATCGGAGGTTTTGTTATAAGGGAGTTGTTGTTTTAACTCTCAATCTTCAGAGGCCAAGCAACCATTGTCCTAGGTCATGTGTTCAGCTCCCCGCTTGCCCTCCCTCTGCCTGCTGCAGTAATGCTGCTAATTGTGCAATTGATACCACAGAAAAATGCTGCTTGGTTGGTGGTTGGTACTTAATGGTGCCTGAAATCCTATCCTTGCCCACATTAGAAATGTTATCTTTTTTTTTTTTTTTTTTTTGTGCTAGGGATCAAACCCAGAGTCTTTTGCATGCTAGACAATTGCTGTACCACTGAGTTATATCCTCAGCATTAAAAATGTTGGTGCATGGTGACACATGCCTGTAATCCCAGCAGTTTAGGAGGCTGAGGCTGGAGGATTGAGAGTTCAAATTCAAAATAGGTTGGGATGTGGCTCAGTAGTCAAGTGCTCCTGAGTTTAATCCCTGGTGCTCCACCCCACCAAAACAATTTTTTTTTTTTTGAGTATCATGGCCCTGTTAATTCTCTTGGTTACTTGTATTAAAAAAAAAATCAGGAAACATCTATTTTGGGGGGCGTAGGGGGTTTGAAACCAGGGTGCTTAACCACTGAGCCACATCCCCATCCCTTTTTATTTTGAGGCAGTATTGCTTGCTGAGTTGCCAAGGCTGGCCTCGAATTTAGGATTCCCCTGCCTCTGTCTTCAGAGTCTCTGGGAGTATAGGCATGTGCCACAATGCCTGGCATACTGTCCATTCTTTAACCACATAAGAAACGTCCTTGATTTCAGGGGTTTAAGCTTAAGCATTTCCAAGGTCTCAGTACTAATAGAGGTTAGTCTGAGAAATGACATTTAAACCACTTAATCTTCAAAGACTAAACTTAACTAGGTTAAAACCATGACTTTTGGATGTGGGATGTTATAGGAAAGATTGTAGGCTTTGAGCCAGTATAGGTTTTGTTTTTGGTTCTAAGAGATTGAACTGAGGGTCTTATGCATTCTAAACCTATGTTGTCTCAGTGACCTGTACTCTGAAGCTCCAGTAGTATCCTTTATATTTCAGCTTTTTATTTTTTATTTATTTTTTAAATATCTTTTTTTTAGTTGTAGATTGACAGAACATCTTTATTTTATTTATTTATTTTTATGTGGTGCTGAGGATTGAACCCAGTGCCTCATGTGTGCGAGGCAAGCACTCTACCATTGAGCCACAACCCCAGCCCTACAGAGCTTTTTAGATGTGATCAGAGAAAATACTCTGAGCCTCTGTTTCGTCATCTATGTAATGGTACTTTTTTTGGGGAGGGGGTATGCTGGGGATTGAACTCAGGGGCACTCAACCACTGAGCTAATTCCCCACTCCTACTTGGTATTTTATTTGGAGACAGGGTCTCATTGGGTTGCTTCTCACCTCGCTTTTGCTGAGGCTGGCTTAGAACTCGCAATCCTCCTATCTCAGCCTCCAGAACTCCTGGGGTTACAGGCATGCACCACCGCACCTGGCTCATCTCTTTAATATTTAATTTTAACCTCATTCTTTTTCTGTTGCTTGTTAACTCCAATTTATAAAACAATTGCTTTTCTCCCTACTTTTAGAATACTCTCTCTGAGGGTGAAAGAAAATTATGGCTACTTCTGAGCAAGTTTGTAGAAGTTGTAATCTTCATTTACTTTGGTGCAAGGCATGGAATTTGAACCTTTTTGGGGATGGTTATGGCATGACATGTTCTTATAAGAATAAATGGTTATTCCTAGGTGAGGTGCCAAATGGTTGTAATCCTAAGGATTCAGGAGGTTGAGGCAGATGGATTGCAAGTTTGAGGCTAGCCTGGTCAACTTTCTCAAAATGAAAAAAATAGGACTGATGATGTTTTTCAGTGAGACCCAGTCTCTAAGTAAAATACAAAAATAGAGCTGGGGATGTGGCTTAGTGGTCAAGTGCTCCTGAGTTCACTCCCTAGTACACCCCCAACAACAAGAACAACAAAAGAGACATACCCATAGGTTTAACACCCAGGTCTCACACATCCCTACCCCCACATACACACAAGAGTAAATGGTTCTTTTATGGAAGTTACAGGTTCCTAAGGATCTTCTTAAATGTGTATCTTTTAAATATTCTGACCAGCTTTTTTCTTTTTGTAGGACATCAGCAGCTCTATGACCAATAGCACAGCTGCCAGTAGACCCCCGGTCACTCTGAGGCTGGTGGTCCCTGCTAGTCAGTGTGGCTCTCTCATTGGAAAAGGTGGTTGCAAGATTAAGGAAATACGAGAGGTTGGTTATGCTATACTTAAATGTTAACTATTCTAAATGTGGTTCTGTTAGCTCTTGGTATAATTAGGAAATGTTAGTACTTGATGAAGACTGACTAAAATAATGGTATTAGAGGACTACAGTGATTGAACTGAGAGTAAAAGTACTATGTAGTTTTTTTTCCTTTTTTGCACAACTCAGATTTTATATCATTATTTAGTGGTTCTAGGAATTGAATCCAGGGTTTTATTTATACTACACAAGTGCTTGCTTTCTCATTAAGTTATATCCCTGTCCCTTTTTGTTTATGTTTTTCCCATTAGGACTGTGATACTCTTATCACAGGCGCTGTGTGTGTGTGTAATTAATTTTTTAAGCATTTATTTTTTAGGTGTATGTGGACATAATACCTTTATTTTATTTTTATGTGGTCCTGAGGATGGAACCCAGTGCCTCACACATGCTAGGCAAGTGCTCTACCTCTGAGCCACAACCCAAGCCCCCGTATATTGTTTTTATTTTTTTGTATATATATTTCTTTTTTTAAATAAATTTTTTAGTCATTGGTGTACCTTTATTTTTTATTTATTTATATGTGGTACTGAGGATTGAATATGAAGCCTCACACATGCTTGGCAAGTGCTTTGCCACTGAGCCAAAACCCCAGCCCTTTATTTATGATTTTTAAGAAATATTTATTTTTTTAGTTATAGTTGGATACAATACTTTTATTTATTGTATGTGGTGCTGAGGATCAAACCCAGGGCCCTGCATGTGCTAGGCACGCACTCTACCACTGAGCCACAACCCCAGCCCTATTTACGTTTTTGCTTCTGGAAGTGGGGTGCTTAACACAGTTATATCCCCAGCCCGTATTTATTTTATTTTATAAGACAGGTCTTGCTATGTTGCTTAGGGCTTGTTGAGTTCCTGAGACTGGCTTCCTACTTGGAATCTTCTTATCCTCCTGAGATATTGGCATTACAGGTGTGCACCATCATGCCTGGCTTATTTTTATTTTAAGATGGGTTCCTGTCAAGTTTTCCAGGCTAGCTTTTTAATTTTTTTTTTTTTTTTTTTTTTTTAGTACTGGGGATTAAGCCCAGGGACACTCTTCCACTGAGCTACATTTCCAGTAACTTTTTTTGTTTGGTACCTGGGATTGAACCTAGGTGCACTTAACTACCCAGCCACATTCTCCAACTCTTTTTATATTTTATTTGGAGATAGGGTTTCTTTAAGTTGCTTAGGCTGGCTTTTTTTTTTTTTTAATATTTATTTTTTAGTTTCAGGTGGACACAATATCTTTATTTTGTTTTTATGTGGTGCTGAGAATCGAACCCAGTGCCTCACGCATGCTAGGTGCGCGCTACCACTTGAGCCACATCCCCAGCCCCTTGGGCTGGCTTTGAACTCAAAATTCTCCTGCCTCAGCCTCCTGCATCACCATGCCCAGGAACTTTATTTTATTTTAAAGACCTCTTTACTAAATTGCTGAGTCTGGCCTTGAACTTGCAATCCTCTTGCTTTAGCCTCCTAAATAGCTGGGATTAGAGGCATGTGTCATCATGCGCCTAGGATTAGTGGGTTTTTTTTTTTTTTTTTTTTTTGGATACCTGGAATTGAACCCAGGGCCACTTGACATCCCCAGCTTTTTTTGTATTTTATTCAGAGATAGGGTCTCACTTAGTTGCTAAAAGTGCCTCAGCCTCCTGAGTCGCTGGGATTACAGGCCTGCGCAAGGGATTCATGTATTTTAATAATAAGTCAGGATATGAGAAAGTTAACTAGAATTTTCAGTAAGTTTTCATTTTGTTAGCAAATGTGTGCAATTTGGCACCTTACCTATGAGGCAACGTATACTTTCTCATATCTAAAGCATTTACAGTTTGATATGTTAGAGTAGCGATGTTTTTCTTGGCCAGATTTCCATGTAGCAAGGGAAAACAGGGAATGTATGTTCAGATACAGTTGTAATCTGGATCACTGTTTAATAATGAAGTTAAATTAGGTTATGGAAGCTTTTAGTTGTATCTAGTTGTATTTAGTTGTATTAGGTTAGGTTACTGAATTTGGTGTTGGAATGAAACTTGAAGTGGTTCCTAAAGAAAGAATTGAGTTGGAGAGCCTTTTGTAAATGCTACGAGAACAAAGATATTGGGCCATGTGTGTTAAGCCCTAGAAATGGTAACTGGCCCATAGAATGAAAGGTGGGTGGGTGATTATTATAGTTTTTTGGGGGCCCACAGAAGCTGAGAGGAAACTGTTTAGAGGACCTTTTTCTTGAGCAGGTTAAATTTAGGCTGTTGTTCAGGCTTATACTTTTCTTAAAGGATATTTTATTTTTAACTCCCATTAAACAGTACTATCTATGAAAAGGGAGGAATGGGAAGGAACAAAGAAAGGGGAAGATGGACAGGATAAGTATCCACTGAGCTATAAAATCTAAAATAAATACTGTGAGTATTTGAAAGAAAAAAAATTTTTTTCTGATTTTTCAATTTCTTTTTACCCCCAAAGAGTACAGGGGCTCAAGTCCAGGTGGCAGGGGATATGCTCCCCAATTCAACTGAGCGGGCCATCACTATTGCTGGCATTCCGCAATCCATCATTGAGTGTGTCAAACAGATCTGCGTGGTCATGTTGGAGGTAAGCCCTCAGGCTCATGCTGAGAGTGGGGGAAGGGCAATTCTGGGGACAGGAACTGATCTATATTTAGTAAGACTGGAATTAGGTGAGGCTGTTAGTAGCCTTCAATGGGGGTGGGTACAAAGGTTCCCTGAGTTCATATTTTCCTTCCCCCAGCTTTGACTTTTCCTATGGTCTGTGAACAAAAATAGAACCTGCTAACTAGCAGTGATCTTTTGGCTTAGGACAGTTTTAGCACAGTTTACAAGGGTAGATGTCAAGATTCACTACTTGAACTGAGTGGACAAAATATTCATTTGAGTTCCTGAGAAGCTAAATGACCTTTTGGAATGCTATACTTTGTTAACATGGAACTTGAGCACATTCTTTAATTTCTGGCTTTCAAGCAGGATATATTCTAAAGGATAGTGAATATAGAACAGAATGGTGAATTTGTGGTAGTATTTGAATGACTTATGTGTCTGGCTAATACACTAGTATTCTATTAAAGAGGAAAATTATGGGGTAAACCTTTTTTTAAGTTATATGTAATTTGTCCCATACTTTATCAGAAAGTGATTTCCAAGTGGAGTTAAAATTTAAATTGGATTTCTGAATAGTGTGTAGTGCAGACACTTCTATATTATCCTAGTCTCATGTTTTGGGTACTTTATTTCAAACTTGGCTTTATTTTCTCTTCAGATTAAAATATGAAATCCTAAAAATTATCAGCTAAAATGTACGCAGAGTTTTTTTGTGTGTGTGTCATTAAATACATGGAAATAGTGCATAAAATTATTTTTAGGGGTATCTTCTTTAATGATTAATGTGCGCTGGGAGTAGTCCATGACTGTCTTACTGCTTTAAGGCAAATAATTGCAGATTTGAGATTAGATCTACCTAATGATAACTTGCTGTAGGTAAGGGGATGGAAGTAATAGTTTTTAACTGAACTGTGTGTGCTAAAGCCACACAGCTGAAGCAGCTTTGAAACCTTATCTCTTTTTGTTTTTTTCCCCTCTGACTCTCTCCCAGTCCCCCCCGAAGGGCGTGACCATCCCGTACCGGCCCAAGCCGTCAAGTTCTCCAGTCATCTTTGCAGGTGGTCAGGTAAGACAGTTCTTATTGGTTGGCTAGAATTAACATAATATTTGAAATGTCAACTACGCCAGCAGCACACCAAGCCACTCTGCATGCTTGCCGATTACTCGGGCCATAGTTTGACTTGCTTTTAGTTTTATTTTTGTACTGGAAAAAGCCTTGAATGCCAAGCCCGTATTTAATTTTTAACAGGCAAAGGAAGTTTTGTAGGCACTCGGAAGAGGTACTTTATTTTGTAATTTAATGTGGGATGGGTTAGGAGAGTTAAATTGCCTCTGCGTCACTACTTCTCTTTCCCACCCCATCCATGCTTTTGTATGTGTGGGGTGATCTTTAGAGGTCTGAGTAAAGGTAGAAAAGAATTGGACCTCTGAAGGAGAGTTCTGGATGCTGGTCTCAAAATTGGGGACGTCTGAACTTGAGTGTCCTACAAACTTCCCCTTCCCTCCACCTCACCTCCCCTGCTCCTACCCCTTCACCTCCAAACTCCAGTGTATTGTCAATATCCCAGACTCTTAACCTCATAAATACTGGTTTTAACCACATGGCATAATTGAAATCAGCTGGGGTAAGAGTTCAGCCTACAAGAATAGGAGGGGGAGAGCATGTTGGGCTGTGGTGCTGTGACCTTTGGTGTTAGAGCAAGAACACCAAAGCACCCCTTGGGCCTCTCTCTACTCCTTCCTTACCAATCTAAATTCTTCATCTTTTACACATGGTTTATTCTAAAGTTAGATGTGTATGACAAGAGCATTGATAAAGCACCATGGTAGTTTTATGCGTTTGTTAGTATTTGAGAAATTGCTAGGCCAGTTTTTAAAATACTGGGATTAAGATTGAAATAGTGGTGTTCGTTTTGGTAGCTGTGTAAGCAAAGTGCCTATCCCCACTTGGGTCTGGCCTGTTAATAAGCATATTACCTGTATTTGATTTGGAATTCATTTGAAGGGAGAGTGTAGTCTTGGAGTTCATCACATTGGTAACTATACTGAAGTGGCATGAAACCAAACAAGTTTCAGGGGCTCAGTTTGTTATATAGTTCTAGGAACTTTCACAAGAAGTTAATCATGTCACAGTATAATATTGAGACAGTACCTTTAGCACTGCTCTTGTGTAAACTGGATTAGTCAAAGGGCTCTTAGTCTGGATTGTTGGGCAGGATAAGCAAAGGCAGGCTTAGTCAGTATTGAGACAGGAGGGTTAGCCTTAAGGGTTTTCTGTTCTTAGAGCTCCAGGTTCCAGTTCTTCTGGATTCTCCCACTCCCATTTGGAATTATAAGGGGGTCCTATGCTGTGTGGCAGCAATCCTCTCAAAACTACCCTTCTCTCCTGTCCCTCTTACCCCCTTCATACCTCTTGGCTTTCCTCCTCTTCCTTCCTCCCTTTTCCCCTCCCTTCCCCTTATTCAGTTGACTACCCTCTAAACAGCTTGCAGCTTCTTTCAATGAGTTGCCCTTTCGTGGGTCATTCCCATGGGCCTTTTTAAAATGGACCAGTTCATAACAGTGTCCACAGATGGACCTGTCTTTTGTTCCTTTGTGGCAAAGTGGGCTCTGTAGGGGTTCAATTTAATCCCATATTGACCAGGAGCTGGTATCAGCTCTGTTGTCCCACCCCTTCATTATTGAAAATAGCCCAATTGTGCATTGTGAAATATGCCACTAGGTAACATTTTTTTTAATTCACTGATTACAGCTCGTTTCAAATTTGTGTCGTGAGCTCCCTTTTAAAGGAAAAAGGAAAAAAATAAACAACTTTTTTTTGTGTGAATTTCATGCTGGTGACAAGGTGCCGGATTGACAGCCCTGGAGACTGAAATCCTCTATTTATCCACAGGACAGGTACAGCACAGGCAGCGACAGTGCGAGCTTTCCCCACACCACCCCGTCCATGTGCCTCAACCCTGACCTGGAGGGACCACCTCTAGAGGTGAGAGGGGATGTTCAGTCTCCAAGGCTCACTCAATCCTTCCGCCTCAGCCGAGACTGCCAACACACGGGGGGCCAGTGGCGCTGGTGATTTTTGTGCTGTGGACACCACCTGTCCACGGGGACCTGGACTTGACCCCCCCACCTCATTTCACACAGGCCGCGTAGCCCACCAGATGGTAACACCAACTCTTCTTTTTTTTTTATTTTTTATTTTTTTATTTTTGGTTCAACCCCTTTTCTCCCTCTCCTATTCCTCCCGCCCTATTTTCACCTTTCTCCCACCCCTACCTGGGTGCACTTTTGGGGATACTAGCCACAGTGATGTGAGAAGCTTCACATCCTGTTAACCAGCCATTTCTTCCTTCCCCTCCCTCCCTTTTCCTCCTTGCCTCCTACCCCCTTTGCCCCAAGACCCAGCTCCCTTTTGGGAGGTTATTGTGTGGTGGGAGGAGGGCGTAGTGGGAGCTGCAAGTGCCTTTTATGGAGGGGAGGTGGGAAAAGGTAGGACTTAGAATATAGCGATTTTTGTGTTCTTTCTTCAACTGTATAGTGTTAGTGACCCAGCTTAAGGTTTTTAGGTAGATGTAGAGAAAAACAAGTTAGGGAAATGTTCGAAAACACGTCATGTAGTTTTGTTTAGGTATAAATCATTCACAGCACCACAATTGGTAGAGGACTGGGGTGGTACTGGGTGGAAGACACCATTTTCCTTCTAGGCTGTCTTGTATACAGGGAAGAAGCAGGGGCTTGGTCAGTCGAGGCGCAGTGCTTAATTGCACTTCCACTTTTTCATTAAAGCAGATAAGCGGGCTGGGGTTGTGGGTCAGTGGTAGAGCGCTTGCCTTGTACATGTGAGGCCTTGGGTTCAATCCTCAGCACCATATAAAAAATAAATAAAGTTACTAAAAAACAAATATGTATATTTTGCCTTAATTACAGAGAACTTGGCTGCTTCTATAGGATCCCTGAAATAAAGTAATTATATATAGGGTTCAAAGAAGGCCAGCTCAGGTCTGACTATATTTGTGAGACTCCATCTATTGCCTCAGTGCCTCGCCCCTTTGTCTAGTTCAGTTCTGACTTCCGGCTAGTTGAAATCTGTTGCCCCATTCCCCGCACTGGGTGGCTGTCCGTGATTGGTTTTTAATAGGAATTGTTTTCCTCCTTTTGTAGGCCTATACCATTCAAGGACAGTATGCCATTCCACAGCCAGATGTAAGTTTTGTTTTCACTTCTTTTTCTGAAAAGCTCCTTCTCCCATCCAATATTGTCTGTGACTCCTTCCTCCCAAGTATCCCGAAGTGAGTTGGGTTTTTAAACATTTACAGTATCGATTCCCTCACAGGGTGAACCACATTTTGGCTCTTAAAAAGTTATAACCAGAACATATAGAACCTTGTTTGCCTTTTGACGTTTAACCCCTGGAAATTATATTTCAATAGGTCATTAGCTTCTTTCCCCTGTGTTTCAGATTACTCTAAAAGTGAAATGTTCCATGATATACTGTCATTTTTATTTAAATTGACAGTGGACTGTGCTTCCTTGAATAGCATTCTCCTTTCCATGGGAGGAGTGGGAGGAAGGTTTGCTGTTGGGTACTCCTTCATCTGAGGTGACAACTTAAAACATATATGGGGGAGGGTGGAGGGACTTAAACACAGGGAAGGATAGGAAGTTTAACATTTGGGAATTCAACTCAAAACCTTCCTTGCCACTAAAAAAGAAAACACCTGTTTTAAAGTGCTAATATTTAGACTTTGTTTAAGGGCGTTTTCTTCTGCACTCTTCCTTTATCCTTACTAACCTTTTCAGGTGCTGAGCATTAGACTTGGATAGTTGAGTTTGGTTCTTGGTTAGTGGCAGGACTTAGGAGAGGGAATTAGACCTGAAGTGGGATTACTTTACACGAGCTAGGGTGGTTTAATTGAGATTTTAAAACAACAACAAAAATAGCTGTAGAAGTTGTTGGTGGTGGGGATTAAACAGTTTGGTTTCTTCTCAAAGTCCTCCCCTTGCAGTCTCCCTGCCCCCATCATTTCCTTCCCTTTTCCCAGTACTGGTGGAGCCCTGCATGGTGTGTTTTCCCTAGCACCACTGCACAGTTTGTTTACCTAGCCTGTCTGTGCTTGTCCCTGGGGCAACTGTTGCAATGGCTGCAAACACCTTCATTAAGTAGCCCACAAGGGGATGGTTATTGGGCTGGTACTGTTGCTTTTCTTTTCACTTACCCAAAATGCATTCATTCTCTTATACTGATACCCTCTGTATTTGTTTTCCTTTCCTTTCATATTCTGCCCATTCCCTGGATTGTATTAAGAAGCCCAGTCATTCCCCTGTGTTGTATTTGGAGTAGTAGAGTCAACTTGGGGATTCAGGAACTCTACATTTTCACATGTGAGTGTGCTTGAGCCTTGACTGTGTTACTTTTCTAATGCCAGCCTTTCTTGTTTGCTTCCTGCAGTTGACCAAGCTGCACCAGTTGGCAATGCAACAGTCTCATTTTCCTATGACGCATGGCAACACTGGATTCAGTGGTATGGAAACCTCAGTGTTTATTTCTGTAAGGTGTAGTGCAAGACAGAGGCCAGTCCCAAGGTCTCAGCTTGACATCTGTTTAAAACTTCATTACCCAGCATCCTGCTGGTTTAAACTTGGCCTACTATGGCTAAACCCAAGGAGGTAATGTGTTTGTTAACTTGGTTTTCATTTGGGGTGAGTTATTTGAAAAGAAAAAAAGGTCCTGGAAGGTTTGGGGGTGAGGTTTGGGGATGCTTGTCAGGCAAAGGGTAGGCTGATATTTCTTAGAACCATTGTGACTGTTGCCCCCTTGATCTGATCAGCATCCTCTTTCTCTCCACCAGCTATTCAGACTTGGGTAGAAACAATCCAATTGTGCCAAATTGTGTAGTGTTTTTTTTTTTGTTATTGTTGTTTTTGTTTTTATTTTGTTTTTTGGGCTTTTTTTTTTCTGTATAAGGAATAACTTGTCCGATAGGGTTAGGATGAGACCACCAAACTCATTTTCACTTGTATCTTAACAGGCATTGAATCCAGCTCTCCAGAGGTGAAAGGCTATTGGGGTAATGATTAAAAAAAAAAAATCTGTAGTATTCTACTGTTATATTAATAAACTGGTGGGAGTCTTGTTTCACTGCCCATGAACCATATCAGCAACATGCACATGGCAGAGAGGAAGCTGAGAGAGCAAAGGGGGTGGGCCTGGTGCCCCCCAGGGTCCCTTGATGGATCTGGCCAACCCCCTTTTAAAAATGGAATTGAGCAGGACTAGGATTGTGAAGATTAGCCAGTTGACCTGGCCCAGTCCAGGTGTCATTATTGATGGGTATGGGTTTTTGTTTTTTTCCTTTTTTCATTGGAAAACCAAACAATAACCAGAGCAAATTGAGCAAAAGACAGGGGTTAATCTGGAGAAATGAATACCCCTCACATGACTGCCATTTCATTGTACCTGACTTTAAAGTTTAGTTTAGGAGGATAAAGGCATAGGGTGTTAATCTGACACGGGTATATTTAAGTCAACTCTGCATGTGTGCCAAAAGTCCATGGTACCAAATAACAGGCATGATATTGGCATTGGTGTTAGTGAGCATTGTGTGAGATAAAATTGGAACACAACAGCAGGAAATCCTAAGCAGAAAAGGGGAAGAAGTGAAGGACTTGATGTTTAGATTTCGGTTCAGATTTTGTCCTGTTTGAGGATACCATGCTCCCTTGCCCCTTGTTTCCATCCCCCTACCCCAATAGGCAGGGCTTTGCAGGAAATGGCATGAAATCAGCTCTTCTGAGTGTACAGAAGAACCTTTCCAGCATTATTTCTACATCCCTCTCCCCTTCTTTCCTCCTTGGAGGCTTCCAAGTTAGTGATGAATCCCAACAGCCAATGCTGGGTTTCCAGTTTAATTTCTTTCTGTTAGTTAATGTGCAGTTCAGTGTGGTTCTGAATGCTGTGCATTGAACATTCTTGCTCTCTTCTGTCTTTTAGCAGGTTTGGATGCATCTGCTCAGACTACTTCTCATGAACTCACCATTCCAAACGATGTAAGTGTACTAGGCATTGGTTTTCAAGAATATAAGTGCCCATACTTGTAAGCAAGCACTCTATCACTAAGCTGCATCCGCAGCCCCCAAATTAAGTTTTTTTAAACTAAAGAGAATTCGGGGTACTAACAATCCTAGAAAAAATTTATTGACGTGGAAAACTTATTGTGAGGCAGAATGAACATTTTTTTTTCCCCTCAGGTAGAAATTCCATTTGCCTTTGTTTCTTGTAGAATCTTGTAGAACTTTTATCCTTAAAGCATTGGGTGAAATGATCTTGAATGTTAAATCTGTGCTTTCTAACATGGTAGCTACAGACACTGTGGTTATTTAGGTTGATAAAAATAAAATATTTTAAATTCAATTTCTCAGTTTGATTAGCCACAGTTCAGATGTTCAGTAAGAACAAATTATTGTCTCATTACTGTTTATAGTCCTGGACTGTTCAAATGTAGGTAATTATTTTCTCTTTTCCTAAGACAAAAGCTTTCAAAATTATCTAGAATTTTTATCATTGTAGTAAGACGGTGTCCATGGCAGATGATTTTTAAAAAAAATATATTTTTAGTTGTAGATGGAAACAGTAATTTTATTTTATTTATGTAGTGCTGAGGGTCGAACCCAGTACTTCGCACATGCTAGGCAAATGCTCTACCACCAAGCTACAACCCCAGCCCCTCATGGCAGATGAATTTAAGCATCATTGCTACCCAGAACTGAAGATGCCTTTATTGATTCCTAGCCATCTGACTAGGTTTTAGTAACATCTTATTTCTGATCTGTTTTTTCTTTGGAGTTAATACTCTGAGGAAAGGAATAATGAAGAGCTGGTGTTTGGAGTAGCAGTTTGTTTGCAGATAACTCTGACCCATAGTGGTAAGACAAAAAGTTGGGTCAGGAATTGAAATGGGATCAGTAAAAATAATTCTTTTTTTTTTTTAAAGAATATATGAGAAAGAGTGGATTGTGGATAATATTTCCCATTACTTAGTTCTTAGATCCAAGTTGTAGAAGAGACAGTATAGAATTCTTGGACCTAGCCATACAAGTTTTAATTTGTTGTCTTTTCTTTTTTTCTTTTAAGTTGATTGGCTGCATAATCGGGCGTCAAGGCGCCAAAATCAATGAGATCCGTCAGATGTCTGGGGCGCAGATCAAAATTGCGAACCCAGTGGAAGGATCTACCGATAGGCAGGTTACCATCACTGGATCTGCTGCCAGCATTAGCCTGGCTCAGTATCTAATCAACGTCAGGTAAGATTGCCCTACCTTTTACCTTAATTCCAACATAGTAGGGGTATGTTGGGGAACATTGTAATACTTTATTATTATAGGACTACTTGGGGATGGGTAGAGATGGCAAAAATAATTTTTTAAAAAATATAGCCCTGCTTTCTTTCAACATTAGATTAAAAAAATCATTCCAGTAACTTTGCATGGGGTGACATAGATTGGTTGCATTTAACTTTTGATAACTTTGGAGTTGGAAGAGATTGTGTATGACTTCACTAGTAGGACAGTGCTCTGGCAAGATCAGCCATACTGACAAAACCCCAAAAAAACCACGTTTCTCTTTTTACTCATGTCACATAGACCAATATTTCTTGACATCAGAGCACCTTTAATTGAATTTAAAAAGCACCCTTAATTAATAATAGAGAAATGCACTTCAAAGCATTCTCTTGGAGGCAGCCATTACCATTTCTTCTGTATTTTTTTAAATATAGTTGTGGATGAACCTTTATTTATATATGGTGCTGAGAATTGAACCCAGTGCTGCACACATGCTAGGCAAGTGTTCTACCATTGAGCCACTACCCCATCCCCTCACTTGTTCTTAAAAACATCCTTTTTTTCCTCAAATTATAAGTGTTTGATTATTTGGGAATGTTGCAGAAATACCAGGTGTATTTTCTGTCTCATTCTTTAATGACCACCTGAGTTTTTTTTTTTTGTTTTGTTTTTTGTTTTGCTTATCCCATACCAAGGTAATGTTACTACATACAGTTGTAAGGTAGCTGTTAATAGTCTAAAAAACTTTCCCTTAGGAAATAGTTTTTAGCTCCTTTGCTAAAGTCACATTGTTAATTGCTTGCAAACAAACATTTTAAAGCCATTGTGTTAGTACATTTCCCAAGGGCTTAGGGATCCTTTTTATGGGGAGTGTTATCCAGTTATTATGTACTTATCTCCTACCTATTTGGCCTCTGTAGCATGAAAGTTTTATGACTTCTTAAATGTGGTACATGGGAAAGGCTTTCATAAGTATGAAGTCTGTATTCTTGTCATTGTTATACAGACCAGTCTTTACACCATGGTCTTCTATCCCTGATCAGAGATGTCTAAGTTCCCTAGTAGTGGTCTTGACATTTCCCTTAAGTTTTCTTTGAGGCACTATTAATTTTTACATAGAAAACACTTTCCTATATCTAGATCTGTTTGTTTCTTCAGCTGCCAAGTACATCAAGTCTTTAATAGTCAAAGCGGTAGAAAACTAGACACTGAGACTGTTGGCAAAGATTCATTTTCTTGTTCTAAGTGGGTATTTGAGGGGAGTTTCAAGTGGCAAAAATCATGTTATTAGAATCTGGAAAATTTTTTCTTGGGTTTTTGGTAGGATTGTCCTGAATATATTGTCAAGAGAGTTTCCATTATGACTATTTTTCAATGTGGCCTCTTTGCCTGGCCCCTGTAGTAGTACTGTAGTAGGTCAGTGGCTACAGTGTATGGATTTTTTTTTTTTTTTTTTTGGTACCAGGGACTGAACCCAGGGCACTTAACCCCTGAGCCACATCCCCAGCCCTTTTTGTGTTTTATTTTGAGACAGAGTTTTACAATGTTATTTAGGGCTTCCCTAAGTTGCTGAAGGCTGGCTTAGAACTAAAAAAATTCTCTTGCCTCAGCCTTCTGAGCCACCAGGATTAAGCTTCATTTAATACTAAAGCAAGGATTGTGCATGCACAGTACTTGCTGTTCACTTTCTCATCTTGGCCAATTTGAATGCAAAAATCAACTGTTTGATTATTTGGGAATGTTTTATTTTAGGAAGAATTTTTCTACTTTTATTAGTGAATTCTGAGTATTTCTGCTTTGCCTCCTTTAGTTTTCATGGTGACATTCAGTACTTTCTGTAGTTAGTTGATTACTCTGTCATCATCCTTTATGGATTGAAGCTGACAGTGAACAAAGGTAAATAAAATAGAATGTTTAAAAGGAACCTCCCTGCTCCTCAAGTTATTTTTGGAGGGTAGATTTTCTGGATAAAGTTCAGCTAATAACCTGTAGTTTTGGCTTTTAAACACATGTAGGCATTTGGGAGATGTAGATGTTTACTGTTAACTTAGAGGTTACTTTAGGAGTAAAAACAGCATTATTTTTGCTTTTTTAAAAACCTGAGTGTTTGGGGAGTAAGTTTCTTTCTGTAAAGTCTGCATTAGATGTGTGGTCAGTCAAAACAAAGAGCCTTTTGATACTCCACCACCTCCCACTAGAAGAGCTTCCCCAGTTCTTATCTATACTTCAGTTCTTATGCTACATTCCTTGAAGTTTGAAATTAGTCAGTGACCTATTTTGGATACTTGTCCCTTTCCATCTTAAACAGAGTTTTTTGTGGAGATGTAAACAGACTAACTACACATACATACAATTTAGAGAATTCTGTGTAACATTCAGCTTTATAAGCAATTGTTATGTAATTTTCCTTTGGAAGGGGAAATTAACATTTGATTAGTATTTGAAACATTCCTTCTTGTTTGGAGATTGAATACTTTTTCATTTTCTACCTGAAAGTGTTTCTTTCTTGTAAGTTGGATAAAGGATATTTGGAAATATGTGCCTTGTATGATTCCTTTTTTAGTTTGTTAGTTTTTTCTTCACCAAAGCAGTTTTAAATAGCATTGTGGAATAGAAAATGGCAAAGTGTACATATTTAGAGGGTGGGACACAGGCTAAAATACAGTTTGTCAGAAGTTGATGTAAATCTTCCTAATTGGCAACCAAAGACACTGATATAACTGAAGCGGTTTTTGTCCTGTACTTTTTCCCTTTTGTGGTCTTCCCTTCCACCCACCCTTTTTTTTGTTCCTTTTTTCCTCTGTTACAGTTTAGAAAACGCTAAACCCTCCTCCCAGGCAGCCTCCGTCACGATCCCTGATCACCTCAGCATCAACCTCTCTCAACCCTCCACCCCTTCTTCTTCTTCTTCCTCCTCCACCACCACCCCCTCGCTCGCCACAGCGGGGACCTCCGACGCACCCTCCAGCCTCCCCAACCCTCTTCCGACCGCCCCTTGTGTCTCCAGTCTGCTTGGCATGAAACCCATCCCTCTCCTGGCTCTAAATGTTGTGTCTGCTGCTAAGGGTACCGGGGCTTCAGCTGCCACCACCACCACCTCTGCGGTGCCGTGTGTAACTAACAAACTGAAAGGGGAGAAACAGAGGTTCTCCCCCTACTGAGTGCATATCTTGAGGCACCTTCCTCAAGTGTGTATTGGTTCATTTTGTTTTATTTTGTTAACACTGGTGAGAACCAAATTATTGTGAGCTTGTGACCGTTTTCCTTTTACTACTTTGGGGTATATCTGGGTGGGGGTGGGGGCAATGATAACTCTTGTTTAGGTTTAGGCCATTTCAGCTGAGTGCCTGTTTCAGAGTCTGACTTGTTGAATTCTTTATCTAGAGCCACAGTTTTTGCTCTTTCTCATTCTGTTACCTTTTTTGTAGCTTTATTCTGCCTTGCAATATAATAATGTGTTAGGCTCTGTGTTAATGAATAAAGGCTTCTCCGTTACCCCCCCCACCCTTTTTTAATTATTAAATGGTTAAGCTATCAGCAGGCCTTTGGCCAAATTTGTGTTTCTAGCTGTAATAAAGTTGCCACAGTAACAACCTTAGTTCACCGTGTGCTGTGACGTGTAAAGGGGTGGGAACTTGTGACCTGTGGCTAATCCACTAGGAAGTCTATACAACTGCATTGGACTTTTGTGTCCCAGGTTAATTATATAAATCTTTGACAATATTGCCACAAAGAGGAAAGGGCTGTGGCATTTTAGGTGTGAGAGTTCTTCATAATTAGCAAGGATCTTCATTAGTGAAGAAGAGTTTCTCATATCCCATACCTTGCCAACAGCAGGTAACAAGGGTGTCTGTCTGAGGTAGTTATCGTGAAGATCTCTTCCAAGGCATATATATACAAATCACTTAACTTCACGCAGAATGGTGGGACAAGGTGGAGTAATTCAAAGGCAGGCAGCTACTGTCTAGTTCCTGTGAATGAGCATTACCCTTCTTCCTGTGACATTTGAAAGATCTTGAACAACCAATCTGTGACATTGTCCAGAACTTGAATAGGATGCCGACTAATCCTAAATCAACTTCAATTAGTCATCTAAGTTCCTGTACCCTTCTGGTCTCTGCCTACCCTTCCTATCTCCAACACTATGATAAGTAGGAAATTATAAGCTTAAATTTGAAGCACCCTTGGGGATCAAATAATTTGTAACTCATTAGTCCTCTCAAATAACGAAAAAAAAAAAGTCCCTAAGCATTTAGATTTGTGCCTTCCCTTTACTCAGTGTACTTCCCTGAGGTTAATTCATTTGTTTTTTGGTGCTTGGATTTGAACACGGCTTGCATTCTATCACTGAGCTGCATTCCTTGTTGCTTTTTCATTTCCTTATTCCAGGATGCACACAAGTCTGAAATGATGGGCTGCGGGTAGCTCAGTGTTAGAATGCTAGTTTGGCATGTGCTAGGCCCTAGGTTCAATTCACAGCAGTGCTCTACACAAACAAAAAACAGAACTCTAAATGTAAAGGCAGGAGGCTTCCAATTTTCTACATATTGCCAGGGTTTTGAATATATAATGTTCTTCCCCAGAGCAATAGAGAAAAGAACTTGATGATGAGAGATTTCTCCTTGATGACCATTTTCTATGGTTGACAATGACAATGGTTGACATTGCTTAAAAGAGACAAGAAACCTAGCTATTCACAAGTATTCCAGTATTTTTCTCTGATGTTATCCCAGATTGGGAATATGAATTAGCATTATATGCCCATATCAGCATGATGAAGGTTTGGAGGGACAAACTTGTGCTTAATTGTCCAGGTAGAAGTTTTTGTGTTAGTTGCTCTTCCTTCTATAGTTAGGGACTTAGCATACTTATATCATGAGGGCTTGGTCTTTTTTTGTTGTTGTTTTAAATAGGAAGGCCTTTTAACCTAATGAATATTCTTAAGAAGGATTTCTGAGCAGCAGTTCAATTAAGGGGCCTCCAAAGATACTGGGTGTTAAATTTTTTAAAAGCTTAGAGCTCCCCCATGTGGTTCCAGATTTCTTAATATATTCTTTGCAGTGCTGAAGATTGAACCACACGGCCTGCATGCTAGGCAACCACCCTGCCACTGAGCTACATCCCCAGCCCGCTGTGTATTTCTTGTTCAATTTTTTCCTGTCCCTGTCTCCTACATCCCCATCCCTGCAGAGTCCTGCTTATGTTTGGTGTAAGTACTGGACAATTCTTTTTGATCACTGTAGGGCCAGAGTGCTACAACTTTTTTTTTTTTAATGGTCCTAGATTTAAACTGTGGGCCTTTGGTTCCCACAAAACCCTTTTATTCAGGGCTTATTGTTGACCTTGCCCTAGATCTTTTCAAGAATTAAATATTATTCTTGATGAGGTGAAGAGATAATTTCTGATTTTAAAAATAGTTTGTAGTTGAAGGACTCTCTAATTTCCTGACCTTTGGTTTTCCCTTCTGGCTACTTTTGGCTATGCCTTGTTGTAGAAGGGTTATAGATGTGAGTTGGCAAACTTTCTTGACCAGACACCACCAGTAGGTCATGCTAGTCAATTTAGAACCTTTTATGAAATTATTTTTGAGAGTTAAGATCACTTATTCTTACATATTTAGTTCTGTTCACAGTGTAAGCTAAGTATCTAAGCAATAACCTAATGAGGCTACTTTCAGATAATGTTTGTTTTTCAAATGGCTATATTTTACTTAGCAGTTTGGGAGGAGGTAAATATGAGCAATAAAGAAACATTACTTCTGTGTATCCATGTCCTCCAAGAACAGTCTTTGTGGAGGAGCATATCTTCAGAAAATCTAGAAGTTCTAGAGGGCACAGCTTGAGGAACGACACCAACATTGTTTCTGTTCTGAGGTAGTTTGCCTGAGGAAGCTTAGATTGAAAGTCCATTAAAAAAAGGTCATGGGCTGGGCATGGTGGTGCACATCTGTAATCCCAGCAACTCAGGAAGCTAAGACAGGAGGATCACAAGATTGAGGCCAGCCTGGGCAGTTTAGTGGGGCCCCAAGCAATTTACTGAGGCTGTCTTAATTTAAAAAGGACTCAGATGTAGCTCAGTGTTTAGAACCTCTGGGTTCAAGCCCCAGTATATCCCCACCCCACCTTAAAAAAAAAAAAAAAAAGTATTACAGTTCTGGTTAATCCAAGAAACTGAAGTGTGATTACCTTCCCCTTCCTCCTCAGTCAGCCAGGCTGAACATTCTAGAGGCGAGGTGCACCTGGGCACTGGGAAAACTAACTTTGAGTTCTTGTTTGTTTCTATGTTACAGGCTTTCCTCGGAGACGGGTGGCATGGGGAGCAGCTAGAACAATGCAGATTCATCCATAATCCCTTTCTGCTGTTCACCACCACCCATGATCCATCTGTGTAGTTTCTGAACAGTCAGCGATTCCAGGTTTTAAATAGTTTGTAAATTTTCAGTTTCTACACACTTTATCATCCACTCGTGATTTTTTAATTAAAGCGTTTTAATTCCTTTCTCTGTTCAGCTGTTAATGCTGAGATCCATATTTAGTTTTATAAGCTTCTCCCTTTTATTTTTGTTTTTGTTTTTTTTTTTTTTTTTGGCTCATGAATTTTTCTGTTTGTCATGGAAATGTAAGAGTGGACTATTAATACATTTCAGTTTAGTTCTGTAATGTCAGGAATTTTTCAAAAAAATTAAAAGATGGACTGGAGCTTTTTCTTTGTGAATAGAAACTGGGTGCCACAGTGATTCATGTGGGTTTTATTCCTGTTGTCTTCCTGTTATTTTTGTACCTTTTATTCCTTACAGGACCCTGATTGGGTTTTGAATAGAAGCCTTTATTGCAATTAAGATATTTTCTCCTGTTCACCACTCCCATGTTTTTTATTCACCCTCGATCCTTTCTTCCTACAACCCTGTATTTAGTTGCCCCTTGTGAAACCTTATGCCCAGATTGAGGATTAGACTTTGCTAGGACCTAATTGTAGAGTAGGTATGCAGTTCCATGGTTGGATGGTGCACACATGTATATACATGGAAGCAGTTGACCTGTATCTGGGATTCACCTTCATGGGAATATTTATCCTTGTTCAAGCTTGAATATTTTAAATGAAAACTTAAGTCTCTTGTTTTTAGTAAGTCTTCATTTATAGTCCTTTTTCCTTAATGAGGTTTTTCCTTTTTTTTTTGTTTGGGGGGACTGGAGTTTGAACTGAAGGGGTCTTTACTACCGAGCTACATTCCAGTTACTTTTTTTGAGACAGGTCCTTGCAAAATTGCCCAGGCTGGCCTTGAATTTACAATGTTCCTGCCTTGATCTCCTGAGTTGCTGGGATTATAGGTGTGTGCCACCGTTCCTGGCCAATAAGAAGAGCTACTTCTGTTTTTGTCATAAAATCACTTAGAAGATTGTACCTGCTGCTATTTGTGCCAGTAATTGTACAAAAATTGACATGATCATTTAGTGAGAAAAGATAACTTCTTCACCAGGTTTGATATCCCATTCATTCATCAAGAAAAACCCTCAACAGCTGGGCCTGCATGGAGTGGTTATATTTCAAGGTTTTTCACAGGGATACAATATGACAGTCCCCACCCCAATCAGGCACCAGGATAAAAAGCAGGGACTTAAACAGCACCCCAGTTCTTCAGCCTGAGCCATCATCACATGCTATCAAGTCTCTCAACCTTCCCCTGGGCCCTAAGCCAGGGGTTGGCAGAGAAAGGGAGGGACAAAGAAATGAGTTACATTGCCACCTGAGAAACCTCAGAAGGGAGGACCCAGCCTTAGTCTCCCTCCTCCCAAGTGCAAAATGTGTAAACAGAGTAAACGGAAAACAGAAAAGTGCAGTCTACATGGTTCCTTCTGCCTCCCAATGTTGGGGGTAAAGATCCTAGTGACAAGCATTGCTTGCTGAACATAAGGAATGGGGTGAAGCAAGAAGGGGCCAGTTTCCCCAGTTTCCACACAGCTCTAGGGCAGTACTTGTCATTCATCTCCACAGCTGCCTGTATCCCTTGACTTTTATCAGGGGTCAGTTCCCCACAAGCCTGACTTAAGCTTGGGACAGCCCCATCTTCCTCTGATTATGTGGCGCATATATATTATTTATATAAATATTTCTCTATATACAGGGAATTAGAGTGACTTTCATGGAGGGAGTGAGGATGGGGGCCGCAAGGCATCAACGCTGTTGGAGTTGTCCAATTCAGTGCTGTCACAGTCTGAGTCCTCAGAATTAGGAGGGCCCTGTGAGGAAGAGTAGAAATGCAGTGAGGTAGAATAGCTCTTGGCATTATAATGATCCCAATAAGGGCAGAATCTAATAGCCAGTGGCTTACTGATTTTATTGCTTCCAGGTTTTAGTTGATCAGGTCATTCTGCAAGGCACCAGACTGCTATTTTCAGGATCCTTCCCTGGCTGCAGTTAATAGTGGCCACACGAGTTGTCACAGACACCATATTATACACGCTCTGTATCATAGGCCTCACATTCTACCATATGGATATTTGCTTTTGGGAGGGGAAGAAACTGGCTCAGAAACTGATGGAGGCTAAATACCTATCTTTCTGGCCTGTACATATATCACCGAAAGCTGTCAAAAATCAGGCTCCTGGTTCTTGTCTGATATCTGGTAGGTTCTGTTCTTAACTTACCTGCTCACCTCTGAGTAGGTCCTGGTGTGGGATGGGCTGGGAGGAAGGATCAGGAACAGCCTCTGAGGCAGGTGGGTCCAGTGGGATTTCTGAACCCTGGGAACACATGTCGTCGGACCTTTCATCTGGCCGTTCATCAGTGTTGGTGCTGCCAACTTCAGGTGTGCCACTGGGGGAAGGCTCACTAGCTGTGCCCTCCTCCCCATCTGATGGATTCTCTGAGCTGAAGGTAGATAGTGATTGGCGCATATTCATGCCCTGAGGCCACCTAAAATGTTAAAGGGTGGGTGTTAATGACTTGTTCTGCCCTTTGCAGCCCTGAAAGCATAGGCCTTTGCCACATAGGATTATCACTCACCTCTGGCTTGAAGTCAGCTCTACTTCACTGTCTACCTCTCCTTCTTCCTCTTCTGAAGAGATTCCTCGTTTCTGTGTGGGAGAAATGAGGGACTGTGATCAAAAAAGGGAAAAAAGTCTTGAATCCAGGATAAGGGAATTTAGTTGCAAAAGATTAGATAGGGAGTTGCCTAAGATTGAGAGCTCAGAATGGGCAATGAGACCTAGAACCAGGGGAGAACAAGGAAAGGGGAAGTATAGAAATCTCCCCATACTTTACCTGACTCCGAGTGACAGCAGCCCTGTAGAGCAGTGCAGCTGGAGTCAAGTGCTGGGACCCAGCCCGGCTTCCTCCCCGGCCCGCTGTCCCTTCCCTTCCAGTTCCCAGCGGCCCTACACCTTCGCCAGGCCCTTCTGGTGGAGGCGGCTCCCCTTTGGCTCCCCCAGGTGACTCAGGGCTGGTGGAACCAGGGGCTGAGCCTTCACTTGGGGGGGTGTCACCGCGGGCTGGAGGTGGTGAGCCAGGATCCCCAGCTCCTCCTGTGGCCCCCCGACCCCGAGCTCCCAGTGCTGCTGACAGCAGGTCTGGGGATGATGAAGACATCTTGCGGAGCAGAAGGTCATGGTGGAGCCCACGGAGGGCAGGAGGGCAAGCCTCCCAAGCTGAGGGTCCTGCTCCTAGGCCCCCTGGGCTTCCTGGTCCTCCAGGTTCATGGGGTGGCACAGCTGCACGAAGCCCAGGGAGGTCCCCACAGCTGCCCTTGGCGCTGGACTTGCGGTGACGTGTCTTGCCACGGCGACTCCGTCCTGGTGAGGGGGGACCCTTAGGACACCCTGGAAGCCCCACGCCACTTAGTGCTGCATCTAGTTTAGGTAGCAAGGACTCTGTCTTCAGGATATCTGGCCTGGTAGGGGAGAATACAAGGCTGTGATTAATGTTTTTACCCACCCAAGGCCGGAGCATTTCCACCCTTCTAAGCAACTGCAGCCTTTTCAGCATCACTCCTGTCATACTCAGAACCTCAATCTTAATGAATTCATGCCCTACCTTTTGCTATGGGGTGACAGTTTCTGTGGCACATTCCTCTTCTTGATGAGTTTCTCCATCGTGTTCCCATGAAGGAGGCCCCGAGAAGGGTGTGGCTTTAGCAGGCCTGGGCATCTCCGTTCTAAAGCTTGTTCTCGCCTAAAGATTCAGATAATTCCTCAGTTGGGCATCTGAATAATGAGGGATCTGTAGGGTCTACAAGTAAGGCAGCTCAGCAGAGGTCAGGCCCTTGGTGTATAAAGGTGGGCAAGGTTACCTGAGCAGCTCCCGCTCCTTGAGTTCCAGCTGCAACATGAGAGCATTCAGTTCCATGTATAGGTTGTTAGCTCTCTCCAATTTCCGTTCATAGTGCTCCCTGATATCCAGGGCATGTCTGAAATGGGCAGATGGGTTCCCCATGGTAAACTGAGTTCATGTGATTTCATGGTGGATCTCAGTCTCTGGGAGCTGGTGGTATCCAGTTCCTGCTGCTGGTAAAATCCCCTCAGTCACATACCTGAGCTCCTCCCTCCTCCTCATTACCAGCTCCTCTTCTAGGCGGTGCAGACAGGTTCCTTCAGACTTGATCTTCTCAAAGTGCAGCTTTACCTCTTCCCGCCACTCTGCCTGGGGGTGGAGAGACAGTGAAGGTTAAGAGTCATCTCTTCACCCAGTTGACCTGAGGTCTCTAGAGGTTGCCTGTGCCACTGCAAATTGTGTTTTCAGAGCAAAAGAGTGGGGCACAAGACAAACCAAGATGGGGTCCCAGTCCTCTATAAGGACTAATATATTGTGTCCAGCCAAGCCTTTTGCTTAGCCTCCCCACCCCACCCAAAGGGCATCATTATTTCTGCAAAGGGGACTTGGATATTCATTTCCCTATCCACAGCACACCTGGGACTTAAAGTAAGTCTCCTGGGGTGTGGAGAGTACGTCAGCTGAGGCAATGTCCAGATGCAGCAGGATCTGTCGGAATGATGGACGATTTCGTGGTTTGCTGTTCCTGAAGGGAATGAAGTTGGGGAAGAAGGGAATTTCAGGGAGGACCAGATAGGAACTAGAACATCCTTTCCTAAGGTGTGTCCTGGAGAACCCAGTCTTAGAATGTACTGTGATGGGGCTGGGGATATAGCTCAGTTGGCAAAGTGCTTGCCTTGCAATCAAGGCCCTGAGTTCAATACCCAGCACCACACAAAATAAATAAATAAATAGCTGGATGGATGGATATAGATAGATAAATAAATG